TCCACGCATGTGCAGAAGGCTCTGCACATGCACAGAGGGTCAAAAATGGGATGTGATGACATCCGGGCAGGTGGGCAGAGCCTCCCTCCACCAGCACTACCGGTTCGCCTGAGCCAGATAGAACCGGCTCAATTTCACCACTGCTATAAAGCCTTAGTAAGACCACACCTAGAGTACTGCATCCAGTTTTGCTCACAACACTATAAAAAAAGATGTTGAGACTCTAGAAAGAGTGCAGAGAAGAGAACCAAGATGATTAGGGGACTGGAGGCTAAAACATATGATGAACGGTTGCAGGAACTGGGCATGGCTAGTCTAGTGAAGAAAAGGACCAGAGGAGACATGATAGCAGTGTTCAAATGGTGTAGGGTCTGCTGGGCGGAGAATTGAATAGATGACCTACACAGTCCCTTCCAACTCTGTTAATCTGTATCTGTATTAATATGGATCAGTCCAGTCATTTAATCAAGAGGAGGAGGAGGAGGAAGAAAATACTGAACTCATGGTGGGTTTATTGGGAAGGCAGCAGTCTCTCTCTCCCTCTATGCTATGCAACCTCACCTGCTCTCATTAGCTGGGAGGCTTAACAACTATAAATAAAGTTATTTATTTATTTAGTGTATGGCATCTACAGAGGTCATGCAACCACTGATATACAAATTTAGTTTAAATTAAGTATCAGCAGATAGATGGATGGATGGATGGATGGATAGACAGACAGAGATACTGTAGATATGTGGACGATACAACATAGGAGATAAAGTATTAAATTAAGATGAAACTATAATAAAATCACCATAATATGGAACCATAGCACTGCAATGGGATGGATGTTATTCAATATCTAAAGAAGCTCACCATCTAACTGTTTCTAGTGTGGGTGTGATGAAATCATCCCAGGTGCCTTGAAATTTCCGATGAGACATTCTTGAAATATATGTGTTATAGTTGTTCCAGAGCATCACAGTCCCACTGCGGGCTCTCGGCCATTCCCCACTTAAAGACCATTGCCTTAGTTCTGTCCTGTCCTGTCCTGATTCTATTCAGGTGGCTCCACATTTTTCGAGGAAACTGCCTTCCTGGAAGTTGTTTTGTTGGATCTGTGTGATCTGTTTGGTTATGATTATTAAAAGTTGTCCATCTTAATCACCATTCTTCATCTAGATCATAAGACTATGATATGTTATCTCAAATTGGTTTCCTAGACTTAAGCCTGTTGAGAGGTAGAGAGTAGATATTTTTATACCTATTTTATGTGTTGGAAGATTTCCAGGAGTTTATGGCATGTTTATCTTATACCACTCTTGGACATCCTGTTGTTGTTGCCCGAGATCAGGAGGGGCAATATTAGAAAGAACATAGAGCCATGAGAGCAGTGTGGACTTAAGGGTTCCAGATATTATTCTCATTGTGTCATTAAGGTGAACATCAATCCTATTGGTATGACAACTTCTTTCCCGTACAGGTGCGCAGAAGGCAAGTAACAGAAGAGAACATCTCTTTCAAAATGCCATCTCTGATGCCAAGGATCAGCTGATCCATGAGATCAGGGACCTGTTGGATAAGGAAACATACTGCTTTCACTTGTCTCCTCTTCCAGCCCAGTCAGGTGGCAGAGTTGCAGTTGAACAGGACAACTGGCTTTTGCTTGCTAGGTCTTTGATGTGCAAGATCAAAAGATCATTGAGAAAGCTATTGTATCTTCCCCTCAGTCCACATAGGCAAAGACGAAGTGAATTCTGCTATAGTTAAACCTGTGATTACACAGCTACTAATTTAACTTTATTTTAGTTCTGTGAACTCATCACTGTTTGAGCAGACAAGAAGGGAGGATGCAAATTCTGACAAATAGCTGCACCTATAGCCATTATAGTATAGCCATTTACCATTTACCAGTATAACCATTTACCATAATGACTGCAGATCACAGCAGTCATTTGCTGTTTGGTGGAGGGTTCTTGCAGACATGTGACACTCAGAAGAGATTAGGACAGATAAGTCAAAGAGTCCCATCAGTATTATATACTGTCCAATACAGCAAATGTCCCAACACTGATTTTTATCTAATGATCAGAGATAGATTCCTAGTCCCCAGAAAGAGGCCTTTCTCTTTTTCAGCGTGTTCTTCCCCATACGTCAGTTCAATATTCTCCACCTATCTATGAACTGGTACAAAACTAAACCAATATATTTTTTTCTGTATCAAAGGAGGAATCCTGTTTCTTTCATTTTTGAAAAAAAACCTGATATCCTTATTACAAATTTGTTAATCATGTATATGTTTAATAACTCTGCAAACTACAAATTCAATATTAGGCTATTTAACATATTCATTCATCTATTTAAAGTTTTAAAATTGCTACTCTGGGCATAAATATTTTAATTTTTATACATTACTATAGCTGCAGAGTAAACCTAACTGCAAAGACAATAGCTAGATAATATATGAATATATTCTTAGATATAGAACATAATAAAAAACTAGACAATGAGCTTTGTTATTAAAGCATATCAGATTTTCATCATATTTATAGAGAAGTAAATTTAAATAACATTATGGATCTTAACTGTCAAATAAATACAACTGAAATTAAGCTGATGCCATAGTACAGCAACAAAATGATTGCTTAGATCAAAAGTAAAAAAATATCTAGTCCTCCTTATATTTTGAACTATAATTCCAAGTATCCCTCATCATTCACTATGCTGAATAAGATTGATAAGAGTGGTAGTTAGCAACAACTGGAGCACCACAGGTTCTTTAACTGAACATTTTTGCTTTTGCTGCATATTACCCTTTGCAAATTATGCTTGCGTATTACTGCAAACAAATCAAGTTGCAATCCAGAAACTTAATAGCAAAAAAATGTATATTCTTTTGAAGCAAATTCAAATGTTTTGAATTTTTGTATGCAGTAAGTGCAAATGTACCTGTTCTTTATAAATTCAAATTTATTTCTTCCACTAAAATGGAATACTCTTAAATATATATTCTAAGTGAACAAAAATAAAATATTCATTGGCATGTATCCATTAAGGATGACACTTTCCAAATCAAAGAAAATGTTTTGAAATAATTCATAGTTCTTCTGAAGCATTCTGAAATAAAGCAGACTGTAAACCAAAGAGCGTAGCACTGAGAAAGTCTAGATGTGAATTTTCAGATTAATCCCTGCTTACAAACAAATTATGCGGTAAAGACAACTCCTGAAGTTTAGAGAAATGCCCAATACATATATTTCAGAGCCTCTGCGAACTTCCCCCCAATGCAAATCTATGGAGACTGTTTCCTCCATTATTTGTACATGGGAAGATAAAAATCTACACCCCTGATCTAAAATAATATCCCATTGAATCATAAAGGTGAGCATGGGATCATATATGAATTCAGTAAAATATATGTAAAACAATATATGAATATCTTGTTTGTCTGTTACTGACTATTCTTAACTCAATGCAATCTATATGAACACTAACATTTTTATTAAGAAATCTGATAATCTTGTTTTTACAAAAATAATCCTCAAAATATTGAATTAATTAAAAATAACACTGTTGAGTTTTTATATTAAAAGTAAAAACATTAACTCCCTTTTATATACAAATGCTTGAAACAAATATTTGATCACTCCTGATCTTTCTGAAGTGAAACAGCCTTCTAAAGAGAATTTGGAACTGGTGATTGGAATTGGAATCTGGAAAGTGATAGACATGGTAAAGTCAGTATTTTCCCTATTTAATGCTCCTTAGGACTGAAAGGACTTTTCTCTAGCAAAAGCAATAGTCTGTTTTTTCCGCCCTTACACATTACTTTGTGTATGTTTTACAATACTGTAAGACTGCAATAAAATGGGATGTCCTCCAGGGAGGAAGGAGAACCTCACAATAATACAGAAATGTAGAAATGGGGGAGGGAAAGTAGCTCTTAATAACATTTTGGTCCCAGGGATGACAAATATAAAGAAGTACCGTATTTTTCGGAGTATACGACGCACCGGAGTATAAGATGCACCTATCTTTTTTGGTGAGGAAAAGAAGAAAAAGAAATCTCCCTCTGCCTCTGCCTCTGCCTCTGCCTCTGAGCAATTTTGCCTTGTTGCAGCAAACAGCAAACAGCCTGCTTTACTTTCATTTTTGTTTTCAGCATAGCTTGATTAGCACAAGGAAAAAAAAAATCTGCTCCAGCAATTTATCCTTTTGCAGCAAGCAGCAGAGCCCTGCTCAAAACAGCTGAGAGGAAATCAGCTGAGAGTCGGGAGGCCGATCCAATCAACTGGTCCTAATTAGGCTGGGCTGAAGCTGAAAGGAGCTGTTTTTTCTTGCTGTTTGCTTGCAAGGAAGTAACTGCTGCAAGGCAGAGGCCAAAGGGCGGGGGCCAGTGGGTGGGCGGGGCTTCATTCTGTGTATAAGACGCACCTAAATTTTCACCCCCTTTTAGGGGGGAGAAAGGTGCGTCTTATACTCCGAAAAATACGGTAATCATTTTGTGCAGCAGGTCTTGTAGGAGGAAGCAGCAGTAGTAGCAGCAGCAGACTTGCTTTGCCTTCTAAACATCCTGGACGTTTCCCTGTGTCCATCCCATTGATACTTCTTAATTTCTGATTTAACTTACTGTGCTGGTAAATGTTACTATAATGTTAATATAAGATCCAACCTGTTGATAAATCAGCTTGTATACAGTACTTTTTCTTTTACAGACTTACGGAACTAAAGATATCTTTGGTCAGCTCTACCCTATTAATATGTTGAAGCTGTGCCCTATGATCACACATTTATTTATTAGTTTGATTTATATGCCGCCCTTCTCCGGAGACTCAGGGCGGCTTACAATGCTTTTAAGCAATATGCTTTTAAGCAAACATATATATGTATCATATAAAATCAACAGAAAGGATAATCATCCTGAAAAGCCATCCTATATAATCAATTGTGTAAAATGACTCCAACAGGCAATAAGCAACCTTCTACGTGATGGGAATGGAGAAAATTCAGATGCTTACCCTGAATCTGACTCTGAGGCTGAGGATTAAAAGCAGTTGTGTGGTTCAAGGAAGCTCTTGGGTTAGGTGCCGGGGCTGGATGGTGTGGGCTAACCCTTATAGCTGTGCGACGCAACTGTTCCAGTTCACTCAGGCGCTCTGAAAAGGACAAACTTCCAGTCTTTGTCTGCTCATCTAGTTTCTGACGATGTCCTATGTGGAAACATTGTGGGTGGAGAGAGAAAATGAGAAATTGCCTTATTGACATATACAACCTGAGGCTGTATATAATTATCCATTACAGCACTCAGAAAACCAATGGTCTGTTCCATATTATGTAGGCGTGATATCAAACAGTCTAACTAAAATCCTACATTTCAATGGAAATAAAACTAATTAAAGATGGATTGGAGTAGAAACCTTGATCCAACAGAGAAATGCATACATAACTCTACTAGTTCACACTGTAGATTATAATAGGGTCTAACAAAGACTACACATGCATATCGTACTTATCAGGTGATAACAGGCATTTTGTGATTAAAAAGGTAATAAGTTGTCACCTGAAATATGAGACTTTCATCTCTTATCCTCTCTTTAAACATTAAAGAAATAAAGTAATATACTTTATGGGATTCTTGTCGGTCATTATTTTTTACTCCATTTTGTTTTAAATGTATTTATCACAGCTTATTAATCTTCATCAGGGTAGCTGGGGAAGACTACTACTGTACTTCCAAGAGATAAGTCGCAGACAAGTTTTTTGTGACGCTCAAGAAAACATCATGGAGCTTGCTGATTCTTATGTGAAATAAATTCATTGTATTTTATTCTTTTGCCCATTAGAGTTTTAATTCAGATTTAAGACAGCAAACAATCATCTGTAAAAGTTAAGCATATTCCGCAGGTCTGGGCTGCAAAAATCTAAACCTTCATTAGGGTTACAGGATTTTTTAACCCAATAGAGCTATTCTTTCACACAAACACACACCCAAAACACGTTTTCATGAAGATAAGAAGTTAGCAAAATTGAGAAAAATGTACACTTAAAAACAATGTCTGGTAACTGAAATTAAATTTTATAACTTGTGCTGAAGTTCCAAATTTGAGCAATGTGTCTCTTCTTTGTTCTGCCAGACTCTTTGGCACAGTCTGCCAGAGATAGCATTATAATGAGCTATCAATTATTTCTGGAATGAAAGGAAAGCAGGACATGGAAATGAATTTAATATTGCATCCATTAATTTATACACTTCCCTACTGCTCTTGTTGAAAAAAAAAACAGCAGAGAGACAACCTTTTCTTCTGTTAATTTTGTAGTTCAAATGGAAATCATCTTCGTTATGTACAGCATATCCAGAAACACAAATCAGAATTTGAACTCAAGATTTGGGTTCTTCATATAAGTATCTGAATGTAAATATCTTTATTAATGTACAAGCTGTGTACATATACTCATAGTTAAAAATAAAAAATAAGTAAGTACCTTTGTTAAAAATAAGATCGTAAATACCTTAGTTAAAAATAAAAAATAAAATAATACAGAGATTATTTCCACTTTTGACAGGCATCCATAACCTGATATTGTTTGTTTCTATTTCCTAGCCTGTATATACCCTCTCCCTTTCTTTCTGTCTCCAGTTATCCATACAACACATGGAGCATACCCAGCATAGAATACACCGTAGTTAAAATAATTTTAAGGTATTTTTTAAAAAAACATGAAGCACTTCTAAGTAAAGGACTTCTTGACAACATTTTGCACAAGGGTCCTGTGCATGTAAAGTGTATAAATTCGATATATATGTATTGATAATTTAGTGCAAAAATTTGAACAATCCCATATAATACAAACATGTTGTGATATTTCAGTCATTTAATAATAAAGTATTAATTTGGGAGTTGATGGAACTCTCACAAAGGTGTTGTTGTACCTTTTGCCTAGACTATCCTTTCAGTGCTTACTAATTTTTCTTCAATTTGCAAGGATGAAATATTTTCTTTTAAATAGCAGTCTAGATATAGAAAGAATACTATTTTTTTTTAAAAAAATCATATAAAGCAGTGAAATATCCTTTGAACTCAGTTCCTAGTGGCTACATAGACAATGACATCTCCTCCTCCTCCTCCTCCTCCTCCTCCTCCTCCTCCTCCTCCTCCTCTTCTTCTTCTTCTTCTTCTTCTTCTTCTTCTTCTTCTTCTTCTTCTTCTTCTTCTTCTTCTTCTTCTTCTTCTTCTTCTTCTTCTCTCTCTCTCTCTCTCTTTTTTTTTGCAGCTAGTTTGCCATAGCCTGATTCCACCTGATTTGGTGGTAAAAATAATGTGAATGCAATTTAAGTCAATTGTGATAATGAAATATTCTGCAATATAGATACAATTACAGAACTTTGTTTTTTAAAATAACAACTGAAATCAAAAATTGCATTCTAAATAAGCTTTATTAGAGCATCTGGAAAGGTCAGCAGTTCAGCGGTTTGAATCCCTACTACAGGTCTCCTGCGTGAGCAGGGCATTGGAGTAGATGACCTCCAAAGTCCCTTCCAATTCTGTTACTGTTACCTCTATCCTAATCTACTCCCCTCCAAATTAGGTATTCTGAAAAATAAAAATGCTTATTTGGTTTATGAAATCCAAGAATGCCTCATGTAATGTAGTGGTTAAGGTACTTGAGTGCCACTTTTTCTCAGCTTGGCCTACTTCAAGGGTTGCTATTGCAGGGATTAAATGGAGGGAGAAGCCTATATAAGCTATCCTGATGTCTTGGAGAAAAGATGGGCTGTAACGTTAAAAAACAAACAGCCATGAATAAGAACGGATTCAGTAAAATAAAAGTTGTGCATTCACTTAAGTCAAAGTTGTGTTAGTAGGCCTTGGAAATGTCTAAAAACATGTATTCACTTGACAGTTAAACTAATTTCCAAAATGATCTCTCTCTCTTCATATTTGTAAAAGATTTTACCTAAAGCAAATATTAAAGCTAATCAAATTTAAGTATATGTTGTATCACCTTATTCTACTCACTAATTGTACAGCTACAAAAATAAAATAAGACTATAAAAAGCAACACTAAAAAAATTGTTTCCTTTTCAGCTTCTATCTATCCCGTTTCCAGTATTCAGAGTGTGGTCATCCTCTCTTCTTGGAGAGCTCCCAAACTCAGTACTACACACATTTAAAAAAAAAAAAAAAAGGGGGGGGGAGCAGATCTGTCTAATTGCATTTTCCTCCTTCTCTTAGAAACCATCTGGCGAAATAAAATTCTAGGCAGACCTACAAGCTTTGCTCTCCATCCAAATTCTAATAATCCATTCTGGACTTCTCCCTGCAGACTATTAGCCAAAATGCTACATATTTTATATCAGCAAAGTACTATATCATCCATAACATTACCGGTTTATTGCCAGTAAGAATTTCCATGCCACCATTTTCTTTCCCCAAACTTTGAAAAGCTATTTGTTTTATCGCCGCTAACTTGAACTGCAGAGAACAAAGAGCCAAATTCTCAGTTCCACTAAAGCAGCTGCAGGTTCTGTAGCACCAAAATTCCCCTTACATTTTTTTCCGCTCAAAACAACATCACCCCAGCCACCCACCATTTTGGGTGTATTGAGTGGATGCTCTAGACTAGAGCCATCAGACTTTACAGGAACTCAAGCTCAGGAGTTATGAGGAAACATGCAGCAAGATTTCTATCCACAGAGCCACAGCACTGTAAAACAAACGAAAATACAAAACAGGAGGCAAAGACTTGCTTTACAGCAGTGCCAATACAAAGCAGCTCTTGGAGGTCTTAGAGCAAGCTGCTCTCAAACTAGGAAAGAATCCCCATGTAGAAATGCCCATAAAAGCAGTCATAACAGTAGTGCTAACATCAACAAGATTGAGTTAATACAGAAAACACAAAACCTTCTGTAATCTGTGTACACAGGTAAACACATGAAATAAATTCCAGCATGCAGAATTTTATGGAGGCAGGCCAACTTCCCTGATGTGAAATCCTTCAGCAGATTGCTGACAAACAACTATTCCTCATCATTTATTCATTTATTTGATATATTCCCTGTCTTTTTACATTAGGGCCACTGATGTCAATCATTGTGGTAGATGTATGTCTACAGCTACCCCTAATAACATAACAGAAGTACTTTATTTCCAACCTGCCTTTGAGGAGTTAAAACCAGTTACTAACCAAACTGTGTTAAATCAATAGGCACTCTAGTAATGAAAAGATCCTCTATTCCGTTGCTCATGCATGCCCTGAGTCATCAAAACTTTGCTTAACAAATGGGATGGTGGGAAGAAAAGTAGATTTTTCTTTTGCTTGAATGTTTACCCTTACAACATGAACCAAAATAACCTTGTGCTAAAACTAGTGACCTTTCATTTCTTTGAAATAAATGTATTTACATTTAAAGTCTAGAGTGGGTTGTTTAAGAAAAAGAATTTTCAGTCTTTTCACTGTTCAAACACTTCATTAGGGACAAGCAAGACTTCAATTTTATTCATTTCCCCCTGTCTTTAATGGTTCTGTTTAATCTTACGCAATATTATACTTTTCCCTGCCTTTTTCTTTATAGCTGCAAGGAGATATAGTAAGCTACTATATAGAATTTTTAAAGCAGAGTCAAAGGAGTTTCCAAACAGCATACAAGCAGGTTATTCTTCCCCTTATTTTTTTTGGCTTCATATGAACAGCGCAGAAGGAGTCAACTAGTATTAATTTTCAACGATGAAGTGGTATGGTCAACCCAAACTGTCAGTAGCAAGATTGAAAAGACAGGATCAACGATTAACAAAAATAGTCCAGAATGCCATGCATGGGATGAACTATATGTTTTTTATTTTGTCAATATAAAAATATTATTCCTTACTAACTTATCTGAGAAAATCTGGTGAAACTATTTCTCTTATGTTCAAAATTGAAAATGCAGATGATGATTCATAAAACCTTGTGCAGCTGGCCAACCAAACTAAAAGAAAATTACTTTCATGTCCAGTTTTACCACAATTTCCTTTGAGTTCTAATTTCACCATTTATGTGCTATGTCAGTTGTTCAAGATGGCAGTTATGGTAATTTACATTTTACTAAACTCTGCAAAGCTTAAGCCTATACATATCCCAGGGGTGAAATGCTCCCAGTTTGGACCAGATCGCCCGATCCGGTGGTGATGGTGGCGGGTGGCAAAAATCCCTGCGCACACAGCCCCATGCC